TCCCCAGTGTGGTCTGTGTTTCCACCACTGCACTTTCCACGCTGTGTTATGTTCACATCTTTCCCAGTCCGACTCTCCCACTGACCAGAGAGGTCAGGAAAACATGTCTTGGCCTCAGCACCAAGCCTGGCACAGAGTCGGTGCTCAGCGAACATTCTCAATGCTAAACTGAGTCTAGTCCAGTGGATCCATTTTACAGATGGGTACACTAAGGCTCGGGGAGGCTAATTTGCCTCCCCGATGCTTAAAAGTCAATGGTATGACATTTTCACTTTTCATTTTCATTTCTCCATCTAAAAAGGAAAATTCCAAGAAGCCCAAACTCTGCAGCAGAGCTGGGCCCAGTTGCAAGCAATGGTAATTGCTAGCTGACAGCAACTTGGAATTTTAAGTCACATCTGACTTCTTCCTGCCTGCTGGTCTGCTAGACTAGAGGGCTTTCATCTTCAGTGAGGCACACATTAGCATGTATAATTGCACGTTTTAAGACTTGAAGAAGAATTTCCCCTCCCCACCCAGCCCACCTCCTACTGCCTTTCCTGGCCTCCCAAAAAGATTTTTATCTGGAGTTTCAATAAAGTGTGCAATAATGATGAGGAAAATGATTTAATAAGGTTGTAGACGTTATTCCCTAAGAAGGCCAATTGGTTTCAAGGTTTTTTTTTTTTAATTTCTGATGTTAAGCTAAATGGATTGCTGAGTGTGTTATTACGAGTTTTGTTAAAATGCCTAATAGCATGCCCTGTAATCTACCTGATTTCAGTGACTGACAAGTAGGTGCTGGAGATATAAAATTCAGGAAGTGGTTATTTACATTCATTACATACATGCTAATTTTGTGATCTCTGATGCCCACAGGTTGTCATTTTTTTCCCTTTGCATAAAAAAAGGGAGAAAATAATAATACATTTGATATTCTGTGGCCAAAACAAAAAGTTATTTCCCCCAAGAGTTTTAATTATAGTATTCTGGAAAAGGCCCGAGTTGGAACTTGCAAGTGGAATAAACGACTTGAATAAATAGTCTAAAAAATTAAGTACACATAGAAGGGGTGATGTGCACTGCTGGTTCAGACTAAACAGTGATTATCGAGAGGGTCTTAGTTATTTAAACAAGCCATTTGAGGGCGGTTTGCTCCTCGTTTGGGGCCTGGTCCTGATTATAAACGAGAGCTTTTAATTAAAATTAGTAAGACCCAATTCAAGCTATAATTTGGTCCTTTTCCTTAGCAAATGTCTATGAAAACAAAGCAATTAAGATGAAATGAGTTGAAGCATTTAAAAGGGATGAAATGCCCCCTCCGCGCCCCTGGCCTGCCCCCTCAGCAGAAGGAGCATAAACAGGCCCAACTAATTCAGACCAGGAGGACAGCATAAGGGTCTGGTGAGCTGGGGGATGCATAGGCTTAGCTAAATGAAAAGAAGCAGGGGAACAGACTGTGCAAAGGCCCTGGGGTAGGAAGGAGCTGGCAAGTTTGGGGAACCAAAAAGTGAGTGATGCTGTGCTGTGGTCAGGGGGGGAAGGGTTGAGAATAACAGCAGCTCGAAGTGATTAGCTGAGTGCTGGGCTCAGCCTGAGGGATGTCCTCTCTCAGCTGTATGGATGGGCAGTGTGCTTTGAGCCCCTTGCATTCACAGGGCCAGGCTCAGATGAGCTGGTGGCAGCTAGTGGGGGATATGAATAAAGGAAAGGGTCTCTGCAGCTTCCTCTATGACTCCACAGCTAAGGAACTCTTCCCACTTTGTCCAGACAGGCTGCTGGGGGCCTGGCCCATGGCCGGGACCCCATGGCTGCCTGGGGCTGGATCCAGGCCCTGTGGCTTCTCAGCTGGGTGACCTGGCTAGAGACTGACCTCCCTGGGCCCGAGTGCCCCAAACTTACTCTGCCATTGGCCTACACCAGATGTTCTCAGACTAGCCTTTTCCCTTGTCAGGCCTCAGCTTCCTTACCTATAAAACCCCCCAGAATTTGGAGGCTCTGGGAGGCCTTTCCTGGTATCCCTGGGACTTATAATGGTCACTCACTATCCACCGACACTAGCTCTGGACCCAGCCATAAATGAAGTCACATGGGTCATTGCAACCCAGTGTCAACAGGCACTCTGAAGAAGGGATGCTCACAGGTGACATGGGCAGCAGGGAAGGCATCCTGGATGATGTAACTCCTGGAACTCATCCATCCACCCTTTCACTCAACAGATGCTTTCCACGTTCTATGCCAGGCCCAGCACTGGCTTCCAGGGAATGGAGCAGACCAGGTCACAGACACTGCCCTTGTAGAGCCCACATTCCAGGAGGAGACACTGGGAAACATAAATGCAGGGTGACATGGACCAAAGCGGAGGTGTGTATGGGTTGGGGGAGGGCAACAGAGAGAGCTGGTCATCTGTAAAGCATGGGGGCTCCCCTGGAGGCCCCTTCAAGTCGCATCCAACCGTGCACATCCACGAGTGTACCTGGAGTTACTTCAGATTCTGTCAAGATGCAAATCATCAAGAAAACACGGATTTATCCTCAGCCTTGCCCGGAGCCTTTCGGAACCACCCGAGGCACCTCAGCCTGGCTACAGCAAGCCCCCTGCCAGCATTAAGCTGACCACACGGGGATCCAAGGTTGCTCTCTGCCTGGCTGCAGAGAAGGGGACAGGCTGCCTAAGATGCTGGGTTTGCTGAAGGGGTTTTCATAACCAGCAGCAGCTTCAGGATGAAGCAGTTAAGGGTATGAGAGGCTCAGTCGGCCCCACGCAGGGCTTCCCATAACCTGGGTCCATTTCCCGTGAAGAACTAGTGAGACTGTGGAAGCCACGTTCTCTGAGCACACTTTGCTGAGACTCTGTCCTCTGTGCTTATCACAGTAAACAACAAAGTCTATCAGATCTGTAGGATGGGGTGCTCACTCCCCCAAGACTCCAGCCCCAGCCTCTACACAGCCCCATACCAGCTCAGCACCTGTAATGAAAGGGCGCAGCGAGGGAAATGGGTTTCACTTAAAGTGGAAACTGCTGTCTGGAGGGGGCTGTGATCAATTATAGGTGTCTGCTCTGGCAGAATGTGGCAGCCTCTTTGCCTCCCTGCAGTAGGTTTCGTGGAAAAAGGAGAGCCTCTGTCACTCGTAATTTTTATCGTGCATTCTTGGTGAATGGTCATCTGTGAATAGCACACGTGTCTGTATATCTCTATGGGGATATGGACATATGCATATGGTTCATCTGAATAGTCAGTGAGCCAGAACACCCCATTTTCCAGCCATTTTAGATCCTGGCAACTGCTGGAAAAAGACAAAGTTCACCCCTTTTCATTTATTGAACAACATTATGATCATCGACATTATCATGAGCATCAACATCATCAATGTGATGATGATGATCAATATCGTGATCAGTATCGCCCAACATTGCCATCATCATCATTACCACCATCATTATTACCATCATCATCACGAACATGGTCACAACATCCTTGTCCTCACCCTCATCATCACCATCATCACCACCATCACCATCATCATCATCATCACCATCACCATCATCATCATCACCATCATCATTATCATCACCATCATCATCATCACCATTACCACCATCATCACCACCACCATTATCACCACCATCACCACCATCATCATCATCACCACCATCACCATCATCATCATCATCACCATCACCATCATCAACACCACCATTACCACCATCATCACCACCATTACCACCATCATCACCACCATTACTACCATCATCATCACCACCATTACCACCATCATCACCACCACCACCATCATCATCACCACCATCAACACCACCACCACCACCATCACCACCATCATCATCACCACCATCATCACAGGAACAGCAGGCAAAGCTCACATAGCGCGTCCTACGTACCAGGCTATGTTCAAATGCTTTATGCCCGCTACCTCATTTAATTCTCACACTATCTCTGTGAAGTAGATATTATTGTTATCTCTAGTATATAGACAAACAAATGGAGTTGAGTAACTTGCCCAGGCTCCACAGACAGGATCTGAAACCATGACGTCTGTCTCCAAAGTCCTTGCTTTAACCACTGTGCCCAACTGCACATTGAGTGCCTATTCCTCCTCTCGGAGCAGAGCTACAGGTAGCAATAACTGCTTGCAGAACACAGTGTGAGAAATGGGCCTACCAAACCTGGGCTCTGGTCCCAACTCATGCAACACCCCTGCCTCCTCAGGCCTCCATTTTCCCAACTGTAAACCAAGGAGGTGAATGAACATCTGAATGATCTCCAAGCTCCCTCAGGCCACCACTGCTTGTGACTGGCCAGCCGCTCCAGATTTCAAAGCCTCCAGAAATGTCTGCATGGTCCTCCTGGGGAAGCAGCTCCCTGATGATGGGCTTCCCCAGAACCACATAGAATGGCCACACAGCCCCTCCCTGACAGATGCTCCCATGAGTTCCATCCATCCGTCCAAAGACAGCCAAGGCTACTCTTCGCTGACTTCCAGCTTGCCAGGAAGGCAGTTTCCAGTGCCAAACAGTCACACCAAAACCCCAGGTGCAGGGAAGAAAGGCCGGACAGACAGACAGACACGGCACAAATCTATGTCTTTTCCCAAGCTCTCGTACCTGAGCCAGCCCACAAAGGCTGTGGCTGGCCACTAAGCAGGTCCTTTGGGGAAGCTAAGGCCACACGGGGTGATGTGGGTGGTTTCGAAGTTAGGAACCTGGGGAGAGGGTTACCCCAGGCCTGTACCCCACACATATCCCATCAGGGACAGAAGGAGGAACATATCATTCAACACTTCATCTCATTTAAGACAAAACGAAACAAAAGTTTCAATCCCAGCACGAGTTAAGTACCCTTTGACTCCAAATTCCTCCCTCCGGGGAAGCAGCTCAAGTTCCCAAGAAGCCCCCGGCCTCCCTCCCAAGGCTGAGTGAGGCATGCCACGGGGTGGGCACTGACCACATACGGGGGCCGTGGCAGCCACGGGGTCTGGCTGGGAGGGCCGGGCTGGGCTCACCTTCACACTGCCTGCCTTCGCCTTTGTAGCCCGGCTTGCAGAGGCATTTGTAGGACTTGGGTGTGTTCTGGCAGATGGCATCGATGTGGCAGTCATCCGTGCCCTCCGAGCACTCGTCCACGTCGACTGGCCCTGGGGGGAGGGGAGAGGGGAAACCACTGGTGAGGTGTGGACCGGGCGGCAGGCAGTAATGGCTGGGGCCAGGGAGCTCCTTCTGCCCCCCCCCTCCCATCGACCGCTGGGGTAATTAACAGTTCTAGCCATCACACGACAATCCGGCGTGACAAGTGGCGGCTGGTAGCATTTTGGGGGCAGCTACTCTGTGCCAGACACAATGCTACCTAAATGCGGGCTCCCATTTATTTTCATGACGGTCCCATTCAGTTGGTCTATTACTCCTGCTGGAGAGATGACAAAACCCGAGGCTTAGGAGCACCGCTGGGAAAGCCTCTCTGTGTGTCTTGCTCTCCCCACAAGCACTGCTCCATCCCTCCTCCAGTCTCCTTATTCTAGAATTCAGAGCCAGAAGGGCCTTGGAGGAATTTAAATCTATCCCCTTGGGGTTACAGTGTGGGGTGGGGCAGGGGCAGGAAACCAAGGCTAGAATGGAGCAGCGAGCAGAGGCCAAGCCAGGAGGCCCAGAGGGGTGACCTGACCCCACTCAGCCCAAGGCTGTGGAAATAGAGGATTCTTCACCTAGCTTCCACACCCCCGCCTGTGGTGGCCAGCGAGCGGTGCAGCCACACCCTCAGTGGGGTTGACCGGGCTCGTCCGTGGTTCTCACCTCCCCATCCTTTCTCCTCTCCACCTCGGACACCTAGCACCTGGCTCTCAGATCCCAACTTCCAAACTCAAGTTCAGTCTAGGTTTTGAGGGCTCCTGGCACTCCCCACCTCCCACCCCAACACACATATATACACCTTCAGTCTGGAATAGCTGTTGGCCAAAGTAATGCAAAATAGATTCTGTGTTTCTGTCTATACACCCATCTCTCTCTCTCTCTCTCTCTCTCTCTCTCACACACACACACAACACACACACAGCACAGAGCTCAAACCGGGAAAAGGACCCTCAGGACACAGGATAGCACAGCCAGAAGAACCTTAGTTATAATATGGGTTACAGATGAGAAAACTGAGGCCCAGAGAGGTCTGCTGTAGGTCAGTAGCTCATTAGGGGCCAAGACTGGAGCTCAGATCCAGAGCTTTCTATGGGCCATGTTACTTCCAGCTAGTCACGAATAAAATAAGGATGGTGGCAGATAGAAGGACCCAGAAGGGCCGCAAAGGGAACCCTCAGCAGCTACCCTGAGTGCAGTCACCCAGGGGCAAGTCTGGGGAAGTCCTGGACTCCTCTCTTCATGACTCCAGTCTTCCCCTAGACTGTCGGGTTCCTGAGACTGTCCATTTTGAATTACTCCCCTGGCTGGCATCAGGGCTCTAAATCTGTGGGGGGCCTCTCTAAGAGAATAGAGCTCCTCTCTAAGTCTCTAAGGGCTCCAGCCTCCCCCAAAGGAAGAGAGGCAACAACAAGAAGCATAAGAGCAAAATTCCCTACACATGCACGCGCACACACACACACACATGCACACACGCGCATGCAGGCACACCCAGCAGGTGGCGTCACTTCTCAGGGTGGTTGTATCTGCTCAGGTCAGCAGCCTGTCCTCTACAGCTGCCCAGGGGAAGGGGGAACGGGAGCCAGGAAGCAGTCAGAGTAGGAGGCCAGAGCCAGCCATCAGATGGCCAGGGGCCAGCAGGAACATCAGGCCAGCAGAACATCCCCTTCTGGGGAAGTGACAACACAGGGACCCCCATGCAGGGTTAGCACGGCCTCAAGGGCAGGAAGCCAGAGGCCAGGGAGGGCCAGTCTGCATCCTTCCAGTGGGGAGGCCTGGGGCCACTTCTGAGATAGGACCAGCAAGGGAAATGGACCACGGATACACATCCCAAGGGTCAGTGTACAGGAACGAGGGGAGGGAAACTGCCTGGTGTTCTGGAGCCCCTTTTGCCCCATATCCCTAATCTCTGACCTAGGCAGGTATCCTCGTGGGGAGGGAAATGGATGAAGGTTAGCCACGGGACTCGTGGTGGGGGGGGGTGGTGAGACAACTCCCAACACATCTCCTAAACGTGACTTTAGGTGGGGGCTGGGGAGGACAGGAGCCACAGGCCATTTGTTCCCATGGTCTGCCCCTGCTCCCTGCCCAGGGCTGGGGACTCCCTCCAGAGGGCAGCCCAGCCCTTCCGTCGCTGCTTGCTTTGACTTTGGTTTGCGTCACAGCACAAGGCTTTCAGGGGGTGGGACACAGAGGAGGGACAGAGAGGTGGAGAGAGGCACATACAGAAACAGCCAAACAGGGGCGAAGGATCCTAAAGTCGGTGAGAGACACCTACAGACACGGTGGGGGCTGTGGGCCACAGGGCCCAGCCTCTGCGGGTTCCAACTGTGAAATAGTTTAAATGGCCTGGCATCCTTAGTCAGGGTGCGACTTCCAGGAATAGATTCCTGTGCCACCAAACACAGACTTCGGGGAGCCCAGCATGGCAGCGGGGGCGGGGGGAAGCCAAGGAGAGCAGAAGCAGGCAGGGTACCCCCCACCCCTCAAGGAGAGAGGGAGGAAGCTCCTCCAAAGCTGTGGGAGGAGACACTGTGCTTTCAGCTTTGTGGGAGCACCCCTACCAGACAACCATGAGAGTGGGAGGGGAAGGAGAGGGCGCTGGGGAGTTCCCTGTGAAATCCTGCCCCCGCCGCCAGCCTCTGCTGCCTGCCCCAACCCATGCCCCAAATGCTGCGGATCCCGGATCCCAGATCCCCCCATTTCCTCCTTCAGTGCCTCCTGCCTCCCTCTCCTGGGCCTCCTCCCGGAGGTCCCAAGTCTGGTCTCCCCTCCCTCTGGTTCCCATCCATCTCCTTCCCTCTGTGTCAGTCCCTCTGCAACCCCCCCCCCCTTCCTGTCTGTCTGTCTGCCCATCGCTTTCCAACCATGTCCACTTCGGTCTTTCCCATCCGTCTGTCTTGCTCCCTCCCTATCCCCCACCCCCAGTCCTCTTGTCTCTTTCTCTCCTGTACCCTCGGCCTCCACCTCTCCTCCTCTCTCTTCCTTCCCATCCCTTAGTCCGTCCCTCACATCTCCCTTTATCTGTCTTTTTCCTTCCAGCTGCCTATTTGCCTCCTTCTCTCTCCCTTGGGTTTCCTCCTTCCCCTCCGGTCTTCTGGTCTCCTCCCTACTCTTCGTGTCTGTCTTTCTCTGGGATTCTTTCTGTGTCCTTTTGTGTGTTCCCTCCGTGCCTCTCTTTCTGTCCGTCCGTCCCTCTATCCACCACCTCCCCCATCCCCTTTCTCTCTAGGTCAGTCCTTTTCCCTGGCTCCCCTCCTCTCCGTCTCCCCTGTGGGCCTCCTTCCGCCCGCACGCCCCTCTCCCCTGGGGGAGCGCCCGTCGGGCTCCGGGGTCCCACTCCCTCCCGCCTGCGCTCCGAGCGCCGGGGCTCCCCTCCGCCTGTCGTCGCGCTTTCTTTCTTCCTCCCGCCCTCGCACTCCCTCCCCCGGGGCCCCAGCCCGTCCCGCCCCTGCTGCGGCCCCGCCGGGCTCCCGGAGCCCCCGGGCCGCGGAGCTTCGGGGAGGGGGCGCCCGGCGTCGGCCCCAGAAGTTACTTTGCAAAGAGGCGGGGCGGGGCGCGGGGCCGCGCGGGCTGCAGCCCCCTCGACGGCGCGGGGCGGGGGCCCACCCGGGACCCCGCCGCCGCCCTGAGCCCGCCGCCGGCCCGCTCGGGGCTTACCTGGGAGCCCGCTGCCCCCCGCCAGCCGCCCGCGCGCGCCCAGGGCGAGCAGCACGCACAAGTGCCAGCGCACGGCCGCCGCGCCCATGCTCGCTGCGAGCCTGGCCGGGCCGGCCGGGCGTGCGGGCGTGCGGGGCGCGGGGACCCCTCCGACCGGCCGCTCGGCGAGCGCTCCTCGCTGCTGGCTCCTCGGCCACCGCTCGGGCTCCCAGCCACCGAGCCGGCGCGGCTGACGAGCTGACAGCCGTGTGCTCATTGGCCCGCGGCTGCCGGGGGCGGGGCTATGCGCGCGGCCGGCCAATGGGCGCCGGCCGCCGGCCCGCGGGGGGGAGGGGCGGGCGTCGGGGGCGCCCCCTCCCCTCGGGGCGGGCGGCAGGTTGTGGGGTGGGGGCCGGGGCCCGCTCCGGTGGCCGCGGGGTGCACAGTCTCCGCCGGGCTGGGGCTCGCTCGGAGGCTGCTCCCTTCCCCGGCCCCTGCCCCCACCCCCCATGCCCTAGTCGTCGAGGGTGACCGTCCCTCCGGGGGCAGCCCTCCCATCTCCCCAACACGCACATTCTAGGGAGAGGAGGGAGGCTGCCGAGCGGCCCTCGGAGGTGGAGAAAGGCCCGGAGTCATCCATTTGCAGGGAAAGAAATGGGAACGCTCAAAGCAGAATTGTGCACTCGTCCAGTCGGGAAATGTTTATTGAGGACCTACTGTGCGCCCAGCGAGGGCAATGCAGCGGTGAACGAAAGGAAAAAAATTATGAGGATCGATTAAAAATAGACGTTCAAAACAAATGAACTTTTTTTTACCGCTCCCCAAAGGACAATGGCTCATAAGTGTGCTTGTCATAGGACAGCTGCAGGATCCGCATCTGGAAAGCTCCCTGATGGACAATGCCACTTTGCAGGCAGTCCCTGCCGGTGGCGCAGCCCATCTGTGCGTTGACCCCTTAGCCTGCCCACTTTGATGCCCTGAGTATTCAGGGCCTGGGGCCTCCGCAGTGACAGGCCCGGGCAGGCAGTTGATGGGCTGGGGGCTGGAGGAATCATCACTGTCCTTCCACCCAAGCACCACTCAGGCCTGGCCTGGGAAATACACCTGACACTTGGTGGCCTTTGGGGCTGGACCCAGACCCCCGCCCGGGAGGCACAGCTGGAAATAAATGGCCCCTCTCAGCCCCAGGCAGGACGCTTTAAGGGAAGAAAGTTCAGCAAACCCCAAGGCCCATCTCCTTGACAACCACCAATAAGAGCTCCTTTTTTCTTCTCCTGCTCTCCAGGCCCGACTCAAAGACAAGACCTTCCTCTTTTTGTCCACTCTGCCCGCCTGGGTCTGCGCCTAGCTTTCCTTTCCATACCAGCTCCCTTCCCTGCCCCCAACACACACACACACACACACACACACACACCCCTCCCAACACACCCCTCCCAACACACACCCTCAGGCATACAGACACACTCAAACACATCCTCACAGACACACATTCCTGCATACACACTCACATGGTCTTCTGTAGACAATCACTGCAATTCTGAAAAGTTAAATCTGTGTCCAGCCACCCTCACTCCCAACCTGACTTCCTATCACAAATAGCTCGTGACACTGGCCTGGTGGCTGAGGCAAAGGGTCCCCAACTTGGGGGACCAGAAAGAGCCAACTATGGCTGTCCAGGAATAAGAGGGGAGGGAGGTGCTGCTCTCTGCCTCCTCCAAGCCTTAGCCTTGTCACTCCAGACATTTCCTTCTGCATGGTCACTCCTAGCTGGTAGCTTAATTTCGAGGACCCCCTTATCTTTATAGGCTTTATTTTGTCCTCCTCCCAGTTGTGTGGTTTTGGTTTCTGGGGGAGAAAGCTCCCTTAGAAACACACATTGTCTCGGGCATCAGTGACAAGGGCAAGTGATGTGAGTTTGAGGGCGAGGTCCTTTTGTGGGGCCTCTAACTGACCAGAAATGACGAATTTTAAAGTGCCTCTTCAGGGGCGCCTGGGTGGCTCAGGCGTTAAGCGTCTGCCTTCAGCTCAGGTCATGATCCCAGCGTCCTGGGATCAAGCCCCGCATTGGGCTCCCTGCTTGGCAGGAAGCCTGCTTCTCCCTCTTTCTCTCCCCCTGCTTGTGTTCCCTCTCGCTATATGTCTCTCTGTCAAATAAATAAATAAATAAAATCTTTTTTTAAAAAAGTGTCTGTTCATCAGGGGCACCTCGCTCCTGGCCAGGTGCCTTCCAAGCTTGATGGCAGCAGACTCAGTCCGTCTAGATCAAGGAGGGAATGGATGCAGTGTGATAGCTGTTTAGACTGTGACCCCCATAATCTGGGGGCAGCTCTCACTCATATCAAGTTCTTGTCCCCAGCCTGCCCCTGTAACGTGGGCAGAGGGACAAAACATGGCTCCTTCCGGGAGGAGACTGTGGTCTGTGCAGAGGAGCCAGGGAGCAGGGGACGGGAATGGAGAAGAGACACACGTGTAAGTCTCCGCGAATGTGCTAAAGGCCGTGGCAGAGAAACAGGTGGTTACATCTGCTCCTGGGGTGGCTAGGGAGGCATCCTAGACCCTAGAGTTGGGCACAAAATATGAGAAGGAGATTTTCCTGATGGTCGAGAGAATGTGCCAAGGTCCACTGAAGAAGGTGGGGACCAAGGAGTGAGTGTTCTCGAAGTACCTTGCAAACTCTAAAGCACTGCACATGTGTGATGGTGACATGGTGGAGAGCTGCCCACAGAGACGGCGGCATCTGTGTGGTGGACCTGGCTGGCTGGGTGAGAACACGTATGCCTGGACTCCAGCCAGGGGCATCTCGGAGCCTCTGGAAACTGAGCTAGGAGAGTGGAGGCTCAGGGATAATTCCCACAGTCACTTTGGGAGGGAACACTCCATAGCTCCCCATCACCTTCCAAGCAAGCCCTGAACGCTTTGTGCAGCTAACAAGGCAACTGTAGCAGTCCCAGCCTTGTGTAACCACAGGCCCCCACAGACATCCTGCTCTCACATCCCTGAACCTTTGCCTCTGCCGGAAGCACCCTTCATGTCCTTCTTCACAGAGCTCACCCCTTCTCTGCACACACCCTCAACTCCTGTCCCATAGCTGGGTGTAGGGCCTCCTCTGGGCTCCTACACACCTGGGGGCTGTCCCATCCCAGTCAGGCTCACCTTGGGTTTCACGTCTGCCTCTTCCCAAACTGGGGTTCCTGAAGGCGGGGCTCACCCCCATCTGCATCTGGGATCACAGCCCCCCGCTTGGGCCTAAGAAATTATTGTTGAACGAATGAACAAAGAAACAAGACAGACATCATTTAACCAAGAATTCACATCGCTCCGGGGAGTGGATAAAGATTTTTTGGCTATTTGATGGGGTTTGAGGGGAGTGAATCCAGCTGCCCACGCCCTCCTGGCCACCCGCATCCTCTCTGCCAGGTGGGGAAGCTGGGCAGGGGGGCGCTCTCCTCCGGGGCCCTTTGGCTCCCCCTGGTGACACCTCATAGATGTCCCAGGAAGAGAGAAGGCAGAGGAGGCTTCCTTCCAGCGCACACACAGCCCCTGCCACCGGGGTGTTCCGGCTGACTTCAGTCCTCAGCAAAAGAATACCTTACTTTAAAAAGAAAACTTCCTCAAGAAGTCTCTTGATTAATAACAGTTGTGAAAGCTCTTTGAGAAAATAAAGTTCTCTGTGAGCATAAAATGTCATTCCAAGACTTTAGAAGCTTTGTTGTTCTTTCTTATTAAAAATAAGGGGTTTCATAATCCCCCCTCCTGTTGCACACTTTCTTTTAATAAAGGGAAAGGGGGGAGGGGCAGCAGGAGAGGGAGAGAGAAAATCTTAAGCAGGCTCCACGCCCAGCGCCGAGCCTGATGCAGGGCTCGATCTCATAACTCTGAGACTGAGACCTGAGCTGAAATCAAGAGTCAAACGCTTAACCGACTGACCCACCCAGGTGCCCCCATGTTGCACACTTCTTCAGACCTTTGAGGGGAATCTCTTTTGTAATCGCTCCATGACCTTGGGCCCCACAAGTTGGGTTTCTTGGCTCAAGCCCCCAGCTGTCAAATGAGGGTCTCAGTCCCCAGGACCTTGGGCATCTCCAGCTCATGGTCCAGAGACTCCCCTGAAATAACCCACCTGAGTTTGGGCACACAGCATATCCTGTCCTCCCTGCTGCTTCCTCCCCCATGTGTTACAATAGCTACCGTGTATCTAGTGTCCCTGAGTACCTGGCATGGTGCTCACTGTCTTGTGCACTGTGTCATTTCATCCTGACAGGCTGAGACTACCACCACCCCCACTCTACACCTAAGAAAACAGAGACTCAGGCCACTTCTCTGGGACCACAGAGCTAGCAAATGTTGAGGCGGAATCTGAACTGAGGTCTGCATGACTCTCGATGACACACTCTTAACCACTACCTATTAATAAAACCCTCTCAAAGGCTCAAAGGGCATTAGGGTACTCCTCTCTATAAGGCACAAAGTTTTACTTTTTTGGCTTTGATATTGAGAAAAGTGGTTTTTACATAGTGGCCAGACAGACTGTAACAGTTCCTAATTCATGGGGCTGAACTTTATGCTCTCTCATCTTTCTAACAGGCGCAAAAAATATTTTCCCCATGTAGGATAGCGGTACATCATTTTTGGGAAGGGGTTGAGTAGAAGTGGAAAGTGAGGGATCATATGATTCACCTGCACACCCCACACCCCATGCAAATGAATCCTAGAGGTGGCCCAGCCCACACTCCTCATTTTAGATATGGGGAAACTGAGGCCCAGCCTCACAGATCTGCCACCCCCTCAGGCCCCTCTAACCCCACTGCCCAGGTCACGTCCCCTCAGGGCTCCCTGCCTCTGGAGTAGCACCTCTCTCTTCTCTCCTCCCCACCCACACCAAGCCTTGTCAGCTCTATATTCGAGACCTCTCACCTCTACCCCTTCAGACACTGGCTTTGTTGAGACAACACCAGCTCTCACCCGAGTGACTCCACAGAGGCTCAAACTCATCCCTCCAGGCTGGCCCAGAATCAGCTTTCCAAAGGCTGACCTGACCTCTCCACTCCTTGTGCCTACAGAACAAAATCCACCGAAGACCCCAGGAGATGGGGCCCTGCAGACCTGTTCATCCTCAACCCCCTGCCTGGTAGACTCCCATGCTTCCTCTTC